TTTTTTTTTAAGTTGGAGTCTTACTCCGTTGCCCAGGCTGGAGTGCAGTGGCATGCTCATAGCCACCGCAGCCTCCACCTGCTGAGCTCAGGCGGCCCTTCCACCTCCGCCATCCAAGCAACGGGAATTACAGGTGTGCACCACCATGTCCAGCTATTTTTTTATTTATTGTAGAGATGAAGTCTCGCCAAGTTGCCCAGGCTGGTCTCAAACCCATGGGCTCAGGCAATCTTCTCGCCTCCACCTCCCAAAGTGCTGGGATTAGAGGCCAAACTTTAAAAAGTTCCTCCCGTGTCCCATAAGTCTTTTCAGAGTTTCATCTTCTAAGTAAGGAATAGTTGAGTTCCCTGGGAATGCTGTCACATCCATGTCTCCTCACCCTCCCACTTCTAAGTAAGGAATAGTTGAGTTCCCTGGGAATGCCATCATTTCCGCGTCCCCTCACCCATCCCTGCCCAAGCTAGTAAAAAGAGCCAGCACAGAAGCAGCGGGCATTCTGCAGGACTCCTCTGGGCAGGAAGAGCTTGGCCTTGGCTCTCCTGCAGCTCCTGGAAATGCACGTTGCCTTTCTGTGTCTACAGCAGCCTACGCCTGGCACAGACAGGGTGGGGAGTTCAGCCTTGTCCTTGTCTCAGTCTAAGCAGTGAGAATTTGTCCCCTCCCCACAAGCCTCCAGGTCAGCGTCTCGGGCCAGGGCTATTGTCACAGCCTGAGAACAGCTGCTTGGTGGAGCCCAAACTCAGCACAGTCTGTGTCCCTTGGTGACTCGCCTGTTTTAAGACCCCGAGCGGGATTCCATGTCGATGTTCTTCTCCCTCTGAGAGCAGAAACGCGGCCAGAGTTGGAAGGAGTTTATTATCTAATGAATAGTTTCGTGTAACCTTCATCTCCTCCTTTGGCCCCTGGTTCCTGCTTTCTTCAAGCTTAAAATGCCCCAAAGCAAATGAAATCAGGCTCAAAACTTGTCCTTGAAGGAGGCCTCCAGGCTGGCACATTGTCCCCGAAGGTGAGAATGTCTTCTCGGGCCACTGGACAGAAAGAGCCTTTGATTCCAGCAAACATGGTGGTGACCTCCTCCTGCTTGGTTGGATCCGCTCCGGTCAAACTTCAGTGTGACCATGAATCTCCTAGGCCAGATGCCCAGTCTCCTCAGTGTTTGGAGAAGCCACCAATGCCTTTGTCGTGGGTTTACTAGGTATGGGTTACACAGAGATTGTCCATCTCTGGCAGGCCCCCAGCGATGCCCAGGCTTCTAGCCCCTGCACCAGCGAGGGTAATAGCCTGCAACTCAAAATCTTAAAGTGTTGCTTTGAGCGGAGAGTTTTCACTCAGGAAGAGAGGAAACAGAAAAATACACAACCTGGCAGGCTCCGTGGCTGATGCCTGTAATCCCAGCATTTTAGGAGGCTGAGGCAGAAGGATTGCTTCAGCCCAGGAGTTCAAGACCAGCCTGGGCAGTGCAGCAAGACCTTGGTCTCTAAAATAAATATAAATAAAATTAGCTGGGCATGGTGATACACACCTTTTAGTTACACAGGAGGCTGAGGCAGAAGGATCACCTGAGCCCAGGACGTTGAGGCTGTGGTGATCCATGATCATACCACTGTACTCCAGCCTGGGTGACAGAGTGAGATCCAGACTGGAAAAAAAAAAAAAATGGACAAACAAACTTTGGGGGATTCTGCGTTCACCCTAAATTTTGTACACACACACATACACAAGCTGCCTCCTCCCCTCCCTCAGCAGCTGGGGTCCACACCCATGCAGGGGAGAGGGTTGGCTGGCAGAGGGGACAGAAGGGACCCCCCAAATTTGCCACCGGGGTGTCATCCACTGGGTCCTCCAGGCGTTTTCTGACAGCTTCATTCTTCTGAGCTCAAGACCCTGTTGGAAGAGAAACCCATTCATCTCCTCCTCTCAGTCCAAGGAAGGGGTGGCCCGGGAGAGAAGTCCGCCCAGGGAACCTGGGGAACCTGGCTCCACCACCACCCACCGTCCATGCCCCCCGGAGGACCCAGGCGTAGCCCAGCAGGGTCGGCAGGCTGAGGAGGACAGCCGGGGGAGCCACCAAAAGTCACACGGATAAGTGAGATGTGTCCCCGCAGGAGGGACTCAAAAGACGTGAGTCCAGGGACCAGTGGGTTAGATGCAGGCATGAGCGCCCAGTTAGCAAACCCCCAGAGAGGAACGACAGAGGCTTTTCTAGAAATAGTGCCACGTCCTAGGCCCAAAGTGGGAAGGACATGACAACCGAGTGGGCTCTGGGGATCTATAAAGGCTTTGGTTTGGCCGGGCTCCGTGGCTCAGCCTGTCATCCCAGCACTTTGGGAGGCCGAGGCAAGTGGATTGCCTGAGCCCGCGGGTTCGAGACCAGCCCGGGCAACTCGGCGAGACCTCATCTCTACAATAAATCAAAACTTAGCCGGGCGGGGTAGCGCGCACCTGTAGTTCCAGCTGCTGGGAAGGCTGAGGCAGGAGGATCACCGGAGTCCGGCAGGTCGACGCTAGGGTGGCCGTGAGCGTGCCACTGCACTCCAGCCTGGGCGACGGGCTGAGACTCCAACTCAGAAAAAAAAAAAAAGGCTTTGGTTTGTCTCTGTGAACCTCGCTGGAGACGGTAGGAACAAAGCCAGGCGACCCACGACCTGCAGCCTGGGAACTCTGTCCTCAATGATGGTGACAGTGCACAGACTCACACTTGTCCCCAGATGGCAACAGGAGCCAGGGGTCGTGACAGCAGGTGTGCCCAAGGCCTGTGGCAGGCAGAGGCTGTGGAGTGGGCCACTATCTTAGCACCCAGGGCTGGGGTTGGGCCCTGAGACTGCCGGCTTGCTGGTGGCGTGTCTTGGGGCAGTTTGCCTTGGGGGCAGGGGACACAGAGTGGGGAGGATGGGTGTCACCCTGCTCTGCGCCCCCAGTAACATGAGCTGTGGCTTTCTCTCCACCCCCCAGGAAGCTGAGCTAGAACGCCTGGAACGGGAGTTCGCCATCCAGTCCCAGATCACGGAGGCTGCCCGCCGCCTGGCCAGCGACCCCAATGTCAGCAAAAAGTTGAAGAAACAAAGAAAAACCTCGTATCTGAACGCGCTGAAGAAGTTGCAGGAGATCGAAAATGCGATCAATGAGAACCGCATCAAGTCTGGGAAGAAGCCCACCCAGAGGGCATCGCTGATCATCGACGGTCAGTGCCCACGGCTGCCCGCCCACCCCCACTCCTGGGCCTCGGACACTGGGTCGCGTGCCTGGTCCTTGCGTGACCTGAGCAGCTCTTTGACTGCCCTGTGCCTTAAGGGTCCGTCCATAAAATGGCCTGATACCATAGGAGAGTAACCTCTTGCACTCAGGTCCGCAGGTGAAAGAGACTAGATGGTTGGGGCCATCACTGTCACCACTGACTGCCTCTCCCTGCCGCCCCCCCCCAAGGGCCTGCTGGGATGAGCGAACCCTCCTCTCAGCCATCACTGGGAGCTGGGCCAAGGTGACTGTGCTAGCCCAGGCTCCGACATTCTCAAGTGCCTGATCTGACCAGTTCTGGCCAAGTCTGGAGGGAGAGAGGGGACCGGGGTACACAGCAGCAAAGACCCCTCTCCATGACCAGGCCCCCTGGGCCAGCAGTCTCTGCTCAGCCACCATGCCCTCTGTCTGACTCTGTTTCTGAGGGTCTCCTATCCCAAGAGAGGACTGGACCCCCGCTCCCCAATCATCCAGAGCTCTGAGCTGTGGTCAGGTGTTAGGAATATAGGTGATTCCATTTGGAAAACTTCCGAAGGAAATACTCATAATTCCACCAACAAGCATCAAGTTCCCCAAACTGTTAGAATCCTTTTTTTTTCTAAGTCAGCCAGTCCTTGAAAATACATGTCAAGTATCCCTTCCCAGCGTATGCATGTTTATAATACTTTTGCTCTAGAAAGACAGAAAGCAGAATTGTGGTCACCAGGAGCTGGGGCAAGGGAGGAGCGAGGAGTTATTGCTTAATGGGTACAGAGTTCCAGTTTGGGAAAATGAAAACGCTATCCAAACACAACCATCTGAGTGTACTTAATGCCACCGAACTGTACACTTAAAAATGGTTAGGTGGGGGGGGTGGCATGTGTCTGTAGTCATGTTTGGGAGGCTGAGGCAGGAGGATCACTTGAGCCTGGGAGTTCAAGACAAGCCTGGGCAACATAGTGAGACCCCATCTCTAAAAAAATAAATAGAAAGTAGACCTGGTGTGTTGGTGTGCGCCTGTAGACCCAGCTATTCAGGAATCTGTGAGGGGAGGATCGCTTGAGCCCAGGATTTCAAAACTGTAGTGCGCCATGATCACGCCTATGAATAGCCACTGCCATCCAGCCTGGGCATTCTAGAGAGACCCCATCTCTAGGGGAAAAAAAAGTAATGTTAAATTTAATATTATATATATTTGGTCACATATATATATCTGCAACCTAAGCTCTTGGGCATTCTAGGGAAGCAGTGGTGTGGTGGAGATTCTAAGATACTAGAGTCAGAGCTCCCAATGGTTCACAGTCCATCAAACATGAATAAAGTGAATTCCTAGTTAAAAAGAGGGAGAAATTTAAAAAGTCCTTTGCTTGGTTGAGCACAGTGGCCCCTGCCTGTAATTCCAGCACTCTGAGAGACAGGAGGACTGCTTGAGTCCAGGAGACTAGCCTGGGCAACATAGCAAGCCCTCTCATCTCTACAAAAAATTTTTAAAATGAGCTGGGCATGGTGGCGCACGCCTGTGGTCCCTGCTACTAAAGAGGCTGATGTGGGAGGATCACTTGAACCCAGGAGTTTGAGGCTGTGGTGAGCTGTGATACAGTGAGACCCCAACTCAAAAACAAAATCCTTTTGTTCTAAGAAATTTGGAATGACCATCTTGCCCGACTGCCCTCTCGTCCTTGGCCAAGACCACGAACTTTCCCCACCTCCTAACGGAGCCATCGGCTTGTCCGTCTCTGTCTCACGCCGTGTTGGAGACTTCCTTCTGCCCCCTCAAATACCCTCGGGGTTCCCAACTGTGGAAGCCTCCAAGGGACCACTAGACCTAGGGGACTCATTACAGTTCTTGCCAGACCCTCCGCCTGTTATTTCAAGGGATGAGGCACTAAACTCGGAAACTGAGGACCTGGGACCTTGGCTCGTTTTGCTGGAAGAGCAGAGCAACCTCGGAGAAACCACTCTTCCCTTGCTGTGCCTCAGTTTCCCCAGCAGTGAAACTGGGTGGATTCTTTCCTTGTCTCCCTCTTGGGCATGGTTAACTGAATGGTGCCTATAAACATGAGCTTGGGCGAGACCGAGTTTGTACTTAGCACGCTTGTTTTCTCTGCTAATGACTGAAGAAGCTTCTCGAGACACCATTTATTGCCATAAGAGCAAGCCCGAGTTTCGCGTTTGTAAAATAATAGCAGCTCGCTCCCATCGGTTTCGTCAGTACATGCCCTGAGTTGGTGCTGGGACGCTGGGGTCGCTTATCCGGGCTGGGGCAGCCTTTGTGTTGGGTACCAAGCCACTCTGCCTCGCAGCTTCCCGGGGAAACAAGAGCCCAGACACACAAAGACAGGGGCGCACCCAGGCATCGGGTGGGGATGGTGAGCCACGCCCACAGGGACGGTCCAGAGAAAAGCCCGGCGGCACCTTTGTTGCTCCTCATGGGTTCTGATCGTAAAGAGAATTCAGGATGGTGGCCACGCTCTTTTTACGGGTGGGGCTTTGTTGATAGAATCTGCCAAGCTCATAGGCTTCTGCTTTCTGTCTTCTCAGATGGAAATATTGCCAGTGAAGACAGCTCCCTCTCAGATGCCCTCGTCCTTGAGGATGGTAGGTTTACCCGTCTCTTGGCATTCCGGTTAGACAGGGGTGAAGCCGGGTGTAGACTGGGGACAGCCCTGTGTAAAGGCATGAGCCGGGTCCACACTGCCGCTGTTCCCTGTGAGCTCTCTCATTTCCTGGTAATCACCTGTTTGTTTGGGAGGGGGTGGGTGCTGCATAAACACGTGTTGATGGAATTTTGGTGTTTCCTATGGCCTAGAGGTAAGATGTAAGGTGGTCACTGTAGCCAGAAGCACACCTGGAACAAGACCAAGAATCCAATCGCTGTGTATACTTTCCTTTTGGCTGTTCAAAATATCTGGAAGAAAGGGGTAGAAATTGATTTGAGCCCAAGTCAAAGATCGAAACGGACCACGAGCGACCGGGAGAGTGAGAAGGACTAAAACACACCCTCTGTCGCTTCCCAAGACAATGGTGAAAGGGAAAGAGGCGATGTCCCTCTAGAAACCTGGTCAGGTCTTTAAAATTGTCACATTATTGGCCAAGCCTGGTCGCTCACGCCTATGATTTCAACATTCTGGAAGGTCAAGGCGGGAGGATCACTCGAGGCCAAGAGTTTGAGACCAACCTGGGTAACATAGCAATACCCCATCTGTAAAAAAAATAAAATAAAAAAATAGCCAGGCATGGTGGCATGTGCCTAGAGTCCCAACTATTCAGGAAGATGAGACGGGAGGATTGCTGAAGCCCAGGAATCTGTAGCCTGGACAGCAGAGCAAGACTCTGTCTCAAAAAAAAAAAAAAAAAAAAAATTCACCCAGGCTTGGTGACTCAGCCTGTACTCTCGCACTTTGGGAGGCTGAGGTGAGTGAACTGCCTGAGCCCGTGGGTTCGAGACCCGCCGGGCAAATTGGCGAGACCTCGTCTCTACAATAAATCAAAAACTAGTCGGGCATGGTAGTGCGCCTGTGGTTCTGGCTACTTGGAAGGCTGAGGTGGAAGGATCGCCGGAGCCCAGCAGGGCGAGGCTGTGGTGGCCGGGAGCAGCCATTGCACTCCAGTCTGGGCAACGGAGTGAGACTCCGACTCAAAAAACAAAAAACAAACAAACAAGAAATTCTATTTCCCACTGAACTCCTAAAACCTAGCAGGTGCCAGGATGTTTTCCTGGGAAATTCTTAGAAAACCAGAACTGATTCCTCCCTCCCCCCGTCCCGCCCCTGCCTGTATCATACCTAGGGAAGCCAGAATGCCAAACGCAGAACCATCTCTGATGATCCTCCTGTGAATTTATAACCCAAACATTGGGAGGCGAGGGCATTAATTACACGAGGGCATTAATTAGATGGAAATCTATTAAGTGGCAGATAATTTTTTTGGCCCTGCAGGGAAACCTCAGGCAGTCCTAAGTGGCTATTCAGAGGGAAAACATAAAAGACCTACCCTCGTCGTCGTAATAATGATAATTGCAATAATAATAATCATGATCGCTCTTGATGTGAGGGAAAGTCTGGTGGGTTATTTACCCGGGCGTCTTGGGCCTGCTCGTAGAAATCAGATTGTAATGTTTTTATTGTCTGCTCGTTATGTGGGTGGGGAGGACGTGGGCTGCAAGGGATGGGGGTGGGGTAGGGTGAGTAAGGGGGAGACTCACTTTGAGTATCAGAGCTTCCTACCCTGTAGTTGGCCTCTGGACCCCAGTTTCTCCTGGGGAGAGAAGAGCGATTTAGTGAGACTCCCTTGTGACCCAGGAGCTGCTGGAGCGACAGGGAATTTTGTGGCATCGTTCATGATCCCCGTTTCCTCCCATGTTCCAGACCCCCACCCCACCCCAGCTCCCTAAGGGGCATCCCTACCTCTCTCCACACTCCAGACTTCTCTTGCAGGCTGTTTCTCTGGGGGTGTCTCCTTTACTGATCTGAGGGGCAGAGGAGATTGGAAGCGCAGTGGATGTCCAAGGCTGGGGGACCGAGGATCAGGCTGTGAACAGTCATGAGACCTGGACTTAGGGCAAGGGAAAGGCGCTTGGGGTTTGGAGGCTTGCACCTGTGTGTTTTTCCGCTCCCGCTGTCACTTCTGCCCTCCCTAAGAAGGCTGGGTCGCTCCATCCTCTCCCCCTCCACGGTGAGCGACCCCACCCGGTGTCTTCATGGACGTTTCCCTTCCTGGGGCCTCTCCCTGTCTTTCTCATGTTTGAACCCTACCGGGTGAATAATTCTGCACCAGGATTTTTTTTTCTTTTTTTTCGAGTTGGGATCTCACTCTGTTGCCCAGGCTGGAGTGCAGTGGTGTAATCACGGCTCGCCTCAGCCTCAACCTCCTGGACTGAAGGGAGCCACCCTCCTCAGCCTCCCGGGTAGTTGGGACGACAGGTTCTCCGCACCACCATGCCCAGCTAATTTTTCTATCTCTTTCACCGCCATGCCCAGCTAATTACTCTATTTTTTGTAGCGACGAGGTCTCGCTACACTGCCCAGGCTGAGGACTTTTTCACCCCGACGCACCCGTGCTTAAGACGTTGCAAAGTTTTCCTGTGGTTTTCAGACCAAAACCCGACTCCTCAGCCTGAAGCTCAGGGTCCCCATCAGCTGACCTCCTTGCTTGTCACCACACAGGTCCAGCTGCACAGACCCCAGCTCCTCCCTCCCTCCCTCTGCCCCGGCCCACCAGCCTCTACCCAGCTGGACACGCCTGCAGCCGGCACTCTGCCCTCCTGCCTCCTGCCCTGGCGCAAGCCCTTTCCTTCTTCCTCCTCTCAGCAGGAGGACTCCCCCCTCGGCCATCTCCTGTCAGTCCTTCAAGACCAGCCTCTCCCACACCACCTCCTAGACCAACCGAGTGTGCTTTCTCCAAAAGTCCTTCAGCAGACGAGGTGTTAGGTCATGCTCCCCTGAAGGCAGGGAATACTTTACGAATACTCAACATGTTGTAACCCATCTCCTTCCCAAAGGCAGTTCTAAAATTAAAATATATGAAAGCAGATTAAAAGAGAATATAGGCTGGGCACGGTGGTTCACCTGTAATCCTTGCACTTTGAGAGGCTGAGGGGGAAGGATCACTTGAGACCAGTAGTTCGGGTCCAGGAGTTTGAAGCTGCAGTGAGCCATAACTGCGCCGCTGTGCTCCAGCCTCAGAGACAGGGCGAGATCCCATCTCCAAAACCATAAAAATAAAACAGATAAAAGAGTATAGATAACTCAGAGAATAAAAAGCAAGAGAGTAGATACCCAGGTCCACCCTGCAGAAATTTACACTGGACAGATACACTTTCACTCATTCCCCCCCCCACACCAGTGTTTATTGAGCACCTACTATATGTCAGTTGCATTCACCACACTGAGGCTACCGCAGTGCATGAAACAGACAAAACTCTCATGGAGCTCAGACTCCCCCCAAGCAGATCAGCCACTTAGCCTCCGCTGCAAGGAAACTCAGGAGAGTCATAACCCCATTCTGCTGTTTGGTGTGAAGCAATGGTTCCTTGAGGGTATTCAATGAAATTCAGACCCCACTCGATCCGTGGCTGATCAAAGGCGATGCGTCTGTCCGCGTGTCATTCTGTTTGCAGGTGGGGGCTGGCTTGGCTCGACTTGTCCGGGCAGCCGGGGGCGAGCCAGGGGGCTCCTCGGTGCCCGGGTGGGGGAGCGGAGGGGATGCGGCCGAGTGGCTCCGAGGGGCTGATGCCAGGCCAGGGTCCCCGTCTGGCCTTGTCGGAAGGACGCCCCAGGCTCAGCCCCTCTCTCTCTGTCCCTGTGCAGAAGACTCTCAGGTTACCAGCACAATATCCCCCCTACACTCGCCTCACAAGGGACTCCCCCCTCGGCCACCGTCGCACCACAGGCCCCCTCCTCCCCAGTCCCTGGAGGGACTCCGCCAGATGCACTGTCACCGCAACGACTACGACAAGTCGCCCATCAAGCCCAAAATGTGGAGCGAGTCCTCTTTGGACGAGCCCTACGAGAAGGTCAAGAAACGCTCCTCCCACAGCCATTCCAGGTGAGTCACGTGGCAACGGCCAGAGGAGCTCGCAGGGTCCCTGCCTCCTTCCGACAAGTCCAAGGGCTGCCCCAAGTGGCGACCCCAGGGGCCGCCTTCCCCGTGAGCCGACAGCTCCACCCCGGGGCCTGCCTCTCGGCGCGCTGGGCTCGGGGCGCCCTCTGCTCCCAGGCCTGCGGCAGTGCAGGCTTGTCGCTCCAAGGGAAGTCCGGGCTTCGGCTGGCATCAGGGTGGTGGCAGATGGCTGTAATGCTGCTACGTTCCACAGGAAGGAATTAGAAACCCTTAGGCCACGCTGTTCCACAGTGACGTGTGAAAGTCCGCTCCTAGGAACCCCAGAGTGTGACTCAGTGCCCGAAACCGTCATCCAGCAGAATTCTGGAGCCAAGTAGCTGTACTCAGAGCTGCAGGTTCTCAGCTCCTTACAGGGCCGACTCGGCAGGGAGGGTTTTCTGGGAGGCATTTTTGGGCTGCGGCTCTGTCTTTCTAAGTGGGGGTCCAGCAGGTGAATATCTGTCCCTTGGAAGGTGAAAACTGCAAGAACAGGACAGCTCCACCAGGCCCGCTAGGGAGGTGGCCCGCACAGGTCTCCATCTCACGCTGCCTGGCGGCGGGCTGTTGGGGACCAGGACCCCCACCCACCGCGCGGGAGAGGCTGAGAGCCACAGCGGAGATTGTGGGAGCGAGGAGGGAGCCCTGGGCCAGCCTTCCCTGCACCGAGACCCCTGCCCGGAGCTAGCCAGCCCCTGGGAAAGGTGCCCGCGGGGTGGCGGTGACAGCGTGAGCTCCTTGGGTTTGCAGCAGCCACAAGCGCTTCCCCAGCACAGGCAGCTGTGCCGAGGCCGGGGGAGGAAGCAACTCCCTGCAGAACAGCCCCAGCCGCGGCCTCCCTCCCTGGAACTCCCAGGCCAGCATGCCGTCCACGCCAGACCTGCGGGTCCGGAGCCCCCACTACGTCCATTCCACGAGGTGAGTCCGCAGGGGCCTTCCAGCCACCTCCCTCCTCGGACCAGACCTTCCCTTTTCAAATTCAGAGCCATGGCTGGGCCCAAACCGGCCCAGATGATGGGTGAGCTGGAGTCGGCCCTGAACCCACGAGGGTAAATGACGCCAGATAAAAAAGCTGGGCGGGCAACACTCAGCCCCCTTTAGCCAGGAGACCGCACAGCCCACTGTCCACTGTCCTAGGGGGCAAAGCTGGCGTTGGCCTGATCAAAGTGAAGGCAGGAAAGGCTGGGTTAGCACAGCCCGAGCTGAGAACACCTTGCTCTGCCGGCGTGATCTCTGTTTGATAGTCCGAATTCCTGAATTTAGACTGGACTTCCTTTCATGAATACCTCTGGGTGGACGTTCCTAAAGAACCAAAGAAACAGGCGAAACGTAGGCCTTAGGGCAACACACCTTCACGTTCTAAAAAGCAGCAAAACCAGGACACGCAGGGCCACAGGTGGGGGCTTCCGATGTTCCCCGGGATGACAGTCAGAGCTGGAGCTCACCGTTGTCTGAACTTGGGGCCACTGAATTCCACATGGAGTCCCAGCACTGGGCAACACCATCTGCCCTGTGATATTGACTGAATATTGATAAGGTAGTCTCATACACAGAAGGGATTATAGACAAAGTCATGGTGTGGTGAGTGTTTGCGTCATTTGTTATCTCATTTCCACCCACTGTCCATTTCCCAGATTTCACCGAGAAGCTACTTGTGTGGATTTCCTAATGGTATTTGGTTAAACCATAGGAAGGGCCTCTGTTGGGTTTGCCCTATAAAAATGGGCATTCCTTTCTCTCTCTCTCTCTCTCTCTCTCTCTCCCCTCCCTCCCTTCCCCCTCTCTCTCTTTCTCTTTCCTTCCCTCCCTCCCTCTCTATTTCTTGCTTTCTTTCTTCTGGAGACAGCCTCTTGTTCTGTCACTCAGGCTGCAGTTCAATGGCGCAGTCACGGCTCACTGCTGCCTGGAACCCCTGAGGCTCAAGTGATCCTCCTGCCTCAGCCTCCCAAGTAGCTGAGACCACAGGCATGCCCCCCTAGCCTTGCTTTTTTGGCAGAGATGGAGCTCTCGCGATGTGGCCTAGGCTGGTCTCAACACCTGACCTCAAGAGATCCTCTCGCCTCGGCCTCCCAAAGCACTGGGACTACGGGCGTGTGCCACCACGCAGGACTCCATCTAGTTGAACGTAGTACTAGCATCGTGATTCTGTGGTTCGCTTGTATCCATAGAGTGATTGTCCACCCTCTAAAAAAGGCCCAGGCCGGGCTCGGTGGCTCAGCCTGTCCTCCCAGCACTTTGGGAGGCCGAGGCGAGTGGATCGCCTGAGCCCGCGGTTCGAGACCGGCCCGGGCGACTTGGCGAGACCTCGTCTCTACAGTGAGATAAAAACCAGCCGGGCGCGGTAGCACGTGTCCGCAGTTCCGACTAGGCAGAAAGCTGAGGCGGAAGGGTCGCCGGAGCCCAGCAGGTGGACGCGGCGGTGGCCATGAGCGCGCCCCTGCACTCCAGCCTGGGCGACGAC